CCTTTGTAATTAGAACTTGCAAACAATTCTGGCATACAAGTAGCAGAATTCTTACAGTTAATGGTGGTAGAGAATAGAATTTCATTTACAAAATATTAATAGGCTTTTAATTTGGCGTGTAAAGCCTTTTAATACATGTACAGCTGGAGGAGAATTGCTGAAAACTCCTGGGCTCTGGAACAATTGAAGCAGCCTTAGCCCCACCTGACGGGAAGGAGAGGTTAGCTGGTTATTCTTCCAGCTGGCATAGTCCCAGGCTTTTGTGTGAGACAGGTGTTTCTTTCCAGCAAGCAGCTTGGACTGCCCAGTGAGAGGAGGCTTTGTAGTTCCCACTAGGGACTAGCATTCAGATGTCGTGATTTGGGGCAAATTAGATACATGGTTTTTAAAGATTCTCTCTTTGACCATGATTGGTTCTCCACACACCTAGCTACATGGACAACTGTTTGCTGGAAATAGAATTAAGACAATCAAAACCAGTTCTACTGAATCACTATCAAAGGGTGGTGACTTTAGGGCAATTGCCATCTGGGTTGGATTTAACTGTCCGACTTTTGTTGGGGAGGAAGTGCTGTCACAGCAAATAGCCCTTTTTGTTCCCCCATGTTGAGCCATTTACAATGAACTGAGTTAATCTGTTCATCTGTCTGGCTTGGTGAGTCACTGGGAACCTGCCACAGCCTCATGGAAGTTCTTGTGATATCTTGATATGTTTTCAAAGTCAAATCCTCTTGCTGCTCTGTAATTCACGGAGAAGGGAATGATAATCTTCCTGAACCCTTCTGCCAATGCGGTCTTCAACTTGCCAGCCTTGTGATGGAGGAGGAGGGGCATGAAAATACTGGGGTAACAGTGGCTGTGAGACTTGGAAGAAAAGTGATGCTTTTTAAAAAAGGGAAGTGGGGTGGGGAATGAAGATGAAGAAAGAATAATGGCAAATTGGCAATCACTAGGGAAAATTTTTTCTCCTTTGGTTTTATTAGTGTGTTTTAACCAGTAACGAGCATGGAAGGGAGGGGGGAGGAATAGCTCAGTGGTTTGAGCATTGGCCTGCTAAACCCAGGGTTGTGAGTTCCCTCCTTGAGGGGGCCATTTAGGGATTTGGGGATTTAGTTGGGGATTGGTCCTGCTTTGAGCAGGGGGTTGGACTAGATGATGTCCTGAGGTCCCTTCCAACCCTGATATTCTATGATTCTAAGCCTCTCTGTTTGGGACACCACTCAGCTAATAAAACACTTCATGTTAGAATGTTGATGGTGGATTAGATACTACTGGGGGGCATTCTGCCCTAAAAAAATCTGCACACAATATTTTAAAATTCTGCAAATGTTGTTTGTCAAAATAATGCTACATAATCATGCTAGTTTCAATTATTTTGGTAATTCATTTCCAAATACCTGTCAGCAAGTATGTCTGTAACAATAAAGACGCACACACAAATTTGACAACCCAGTTCCTGTCTCTCTGCCCCTTCCCCCCCCAGAGCCCAATTGGAGGGCCAGATACCCACAACCTCTCCCCCCCCCGCCCCAGAGCCCCCCCCAGCCAATACATCTGAACCCCCTCCTCTCCAAAACCCAACCATGGGGGGGACCCCTTGCCCAGATACCCACACCCCTCTCCCACACTCCCAGAGTCCAGGGATCCAGAAGGAGAAACAACTTGATGCTTGATCCCAGGCTTGTACTGAGTTTCCTGCGCACCATCCTCTCCTTCCCTCAGGACATGCTGGGAACTGCAGCTGCCAGGAACCCTCTTGCTCCCTCCCCCTGCAGTCTCTTCTATGTGCAAGCTGGGCTCTGCCGAGTCCAGTGGCCCCTAGTGGTGGCTAGCAGCACTGCAACCCATTTCTGGGGAGGGGCGGGGGGGGGAGGAAATTCTGCATGCACAACGTTAATTTCTGCAAAATTCTGCATTGTGAAGTGGCACAGAATTCCCCCAGGAATAATTAGAGAGGAAAGAGAGTGTGGTGGTTAGGGTGCTAGCCTACAACTTTGGGAGTCCTAGTTCATTTCCTGGTCCACCACAGGCAAGTTACTTAGTGTTTGTGCCTCTTTTATACATATCTCATAGAGGTGTTAGAAGAATACATTCATTATTGTAAGGCATTCTGATAGTATAATAATGGGGGGGCTATATAAATTCCATAGTTTGTTCATTTGTCATAGTACGGATTTGAAGGCTGGAGAGACTTTCAACATTTGTCTCAAACTTAGCTTCCTGTAGAATTATTTTAGTAAGAATTCTGCTGCTTGTGTGCCAGAATTGTTTGTAAGTTCTGATTACAGGGCCAGTTTCACTTAGGGAAACCCTCTGAAGGGAGTGAATTGCACAGGGGATTCTGAATTCTAAATTCTGAGCCAGATGCACTTGCTTTATTATGTCAAGTAACTGGCTCTCAGCGTCCTTGGGTTGATCTGATAGTGATACAGTGACAGAGTAGAGCGCTTCAATCTGCCACCAGAAGTAAGCACAGTCTAACTTCCACGGTGGTAGTAAACATCTAATATTTATCTGGAAAGTTTAAATTGCAGTACAGTCCTAAGATAGGAAAAGAGAACCTTTGCTAATACGTAACTAGCACTGGTCAGAACATTTTCATCAGATTTTGGCAAACAGGTAACTTTTTGACAGGTTTGATATTTTTCTTCCGGCTCTACCCACAATTTCTTTACTTGCTGCAAACCTGAATGCCAGGTTAGGACAGTGATGCAGGGAAATGGAGCGTACAAACTCTGCCTGAGACCTTGGGATGGATTTGGCAATAAAAACTAAAGAGAAGTTACATGCTTGGGGGCAGATTTAGGCTTCAAACTTGCATCAGGGCAGCTGCAGCACTTCTGGTGAAGACTGTCTAAGCCAATGGGAGAGAGCTCTCCTGTCAGCATAACTCCACCTCCACAAAAGGCGGTAGGTATGTCCATAGGAGAAGCTCTCCTGCTGACATAGCACAGACTACACGGGGGAGGTGGGGTTTAAGGTCAGTATAACTATGTTGCTCGGGGTGTGTATTTTCACCTCCCCGAGCAATGTAGTTACACTAAGTGTGTAGTGTTGATCTGGTTTTGGTCTCTTTTTTGTTTTCCTGTCTGAGTGAGTAAGGCCTGTCCCTTTGAATAAGGACATAATTACTGTTCTGGAACTTTCCTGTTGATGAGGCTGGAGCTCACAGACAAAATAAACTAGATAACCATTTCTCTGGGCGTGGCTCCACTTGCAGATGTAGAGCGCTGGGAGTTAAACCAGCCTTCGGAGACTGCAGCAGGGAAAACGCTGCCGAGTGTTTACACTCTCAGCTGGAAGCGCACTGGTGTGGCCACATTAGCAGCTCCTGCAACACCACAAAAAGCAGTGCATTGTGGTAGCTATCCCAGCGTGCAAGTGGCTGCACTGTGCTTTTCAAATGCGGGGGGGGTGGGGGTGGGTGGAGTGTGACAGGGAGTGTGGTGTGTGTGTGTATGTGGGGGGGGAGGGTTTTTAGGGTGCTGAGACTGTGTCAGCATGCTGTCTTTTAAGTCGCCCCCCCCCCGCCTCTCTCTCTTTCACTCACAGCAAGCAACATTCCACACTAATGGCTTGCTTTGTCCTGGCTGTCAGAAATGTCAGCATGCTGGCTGTCAGAAACGGAGCTTTGAAAGGGGATATCCACATTCCTACAGCCGATTCCAAAACAATGACAAGAGTGGCCACTTGACTTAAGGGGGATTATGGGATGTTTCCGGAGGCTGATCAAAGCGCAGTAATACAACACCTTGTTCACGCTGATGCTGGGGTGTTTCAGCCGAGGCGCAACAAGTGCAACAAACATTATGCTTCTCATGGATTACCAGGAGCGCTCCAGCTGCAGAGTCCAGACGCTCTAAATACCTTGCCAGTGTGGACAGGTTGGGAGTTAGGGTGCCTGGGGCTGCTTTAATGCGCTCTAACTTGCAAGTGTAGCCAAGCCCTCTGTTTCAGTCTATTTACCTGGCACAAAAGGCTCCAAGGGTGTCAAACTAGTGTAAAGACGTTGAATTGTATGAAGAACTCTTCCCATTGCCCCTTTAACTTAAGCTTCTTTTGATCAAAGGGAACTGGAATATACATTTACTTGGACTTTCTCTGTGGTTTCATCTGTAGCTTTCTATGCTAATTGCCTATTAGTCTTTCAGCTGTCAGGATGGAAACTGCTGTCTGTGGGGCTGAAGCACTCTAATCAAATTCTCCTGTCAACTTGTTTGCCTGTCTCATTCTCATTGCCCTATACAATATCAATTTAAAAAAAACAACTTGCTTTTTTTAAATAGCAGGCGACTCTGTCAGAAAACCTAACTAGCTTTTTGATTCCAGAACACATCATCACTTCTACTTTACTGGCCCTGAATCAAATTGTCTAATGAAATTTTATTGAAGGATGCCTTTGTTCATGTTTCCCAATTCAGGCAATATCTAGTTGTCACTCAAATTCATAACCATACAGTCTAAATTTTACTTTATTATAGGAAGGTGAAGGTTAAACATATGCTTGGTCTTCATCTCCCTCAGATTTGTGTACTAACTTGGCTGGAATTCACATGAGGACTTTGCAATGCCCTGTGACACACCCATAGGTTTCCACGGGAAATGGATTCAGGCCCCCAAATCTCCTTTAAGTTATACATTTGCCAGTTTTTAAAGTCTTTATAGTACAGTCCTGGCCAGTGTTCCAATGAAGGGTTATTGTCTGGACCTATTCTTTTTAAAAGTAACAGGGTTTCGAACAGTTTTTTTCTGAAACTCTGGACATAACTGTGAATTTAGTACAATTTACTCAAAAGCACAACCTGATCAAAGACACTAACACAGAATTTGAATTAAAATTGTCTTCTGGTACAAGCAAAATTATTTAATTCGTCAAAAATTAGGGTCTAGCTTGTTTGAAAAGAAATAATTGTTAGATAATTATGCCTCTGTTTTATTTCTGTTCATATTTTTAAGTGTGGTGGCTACATTCTCATCCCCTTCCTGTGTTCATCATGCAGGTATTTTGATGGCAACTTGGAGAAGCTTTTTGCTGAGTGTCATGTAATTAACCCAAGTAAAAAGTCTCGAACACGTCAAATGAACACAAGGTCATCAGCCCAGGACATGCCTTGTCAGATCTGCTATCTGAACTACCCCAACTCGGTGAGTACCTGGCAGCTCAAGGCACAGGGCAATTGTTTATAGCCCAGTGCAAGTCTCTTTTCTTAAATTGAAGAAAGAAGAACAGGAGTACTTGTGGCACCTTAGAGACTAACAAATTTATTAGAGCATAAGCTTTCGTGGACTACAGCCCACTTCTTCGGATGCATATAAGTGGGCTGTAGTCCAC